TTTCAGCCGTGGGAGCGTTATAATGTGACGGTCAATCCCACTATTACGTTGGTAAAAGAGTAGCCCAAGGAGTTGGCGGTGGGTGGTGATAACTAGCTGCCTTCCCTCTAGTCTTACACTGCTAAATTAGGGACGGCTAGCGCAGATAGCCCTCGTGTAGCTTTGCGCGAAATTCAAAAACAAACAAACTTTACGCTAATATGTTGTGCCTTGGAAGAATCAAATGTGAAACTCATTTGTGCGTGTTTTTTATTCAACAACTGTTCATTTTTGCTGTGAATTCAAACTAACCTGTATAAAATTTAGATTTTAAATATAAAAAATATTTTTCACTTTGTGGATCAATATTACACCAAATTTAATCCTTTAGTGCTTTTATACAAGCCCGACTATTTCCTTCAAGTCTTCAACAGTAAGGAAAAACGTAACATAGAACGCGTAAGAAGCGTTATCAGTTTTAACAAATAAGAAGTAATAATTATAACAACTGCCATAAAGAGGCGTTATGTGTATAAATCTTGTATTCATTGTATATTTGTGTTTCTGAACTGATTCATTGAACTCATGAATTTAAATACAATTTATAAGCAAAAAATAGATAACTTCTTACTTATATACAGAGAAATTATGAAAATATAGGTCTCCCGAATTATTGAGCCAGACTGTACTTTGTTATTGTTAGAAATATTTCTTAGTTTACAAAGCATTATTCTTTTATAGAATAATTTTATTCTGCATATTGCATGTTTTGGAAATAAATCTTACCTATTCAATGATTTATAATCCTATATCCTTCTAAGAAGAAATGAAGATTTTTACAGAAGTTTATTTTTGTTAGTGGTAAACGTGGTAACTGGTTGCATTCCCTCTTTACTAAATTTTCATTGCTTCTAGTAAATGACAATTCTTAGTTTTACTTTTATTGAGGTCATTAAATATGAATGATAATAATCTCTTCTATTAAGATTTAACGTTACTATGATTCTTTGAAAGTGGTTTTTTTTGCTAACGTTACTATGATTCTTTGAAAGTGGCTGTTTTTGCAAATGTTTCTTATTGCTTTCAAACAAAAAGAACAAGAATTAAAATGACCTGATTTTTGTAATATATATATTTGCATGATTATATGTTCAAATAACTTCAAAGTAATCGTGTGTGTATTTAGAGACCACTTTGCTACTAACATATTTTTAATTGTATTTTTTTCCCTTCTCCTGATTGGTGGTTTAGTAAAGAGATTTGTGACGACACAGTCGGTGGTAATCTTATTATGTGTCCACTTTGTAATCAACAATGTGGATTCTGGCGCTTGAAAGATTCGTGTGTCTTCAGTATGGTAAGTATAGTTGATTGTATTATATATTTTGCTACGTTAAAAAAGGGTTAATCTAAATGGTTTATTCTTTTATAAAAATGTAATAGTATTCAAATTAGATTGGCAGTGAGGATGTCCAAACAGCTTCCTCACCACTCAATTAGCATCCCCTCAAAATGTTTTTGACTAATCGGAAATCAGAAAAACGTAGGATTAGACATAATTTTGAATGTTTTAACAACTATTATAATGTGAAGGCTTTTTCTGGTGAAGTGTGAGTATAATCAGTTACATTTGTCATAAAACAATAGTATTAAGCTTATTGTAATTTAAACACTATAGTTTTTAATTCAGTCCCTTAGGTTTTTCCAAGAATAAGAGTGTATAAGAATATTTCAATCACGCTTTTTTTCTGCTATATCCATTACCGACGACGCATTTCGCTTATTACCAAAGTTCATCGGCAGGCCGGAACTCTGTATGTAGAGTGACCTGACGCCCCGGTTTTGCTAGAACAGTCTCGTCTTGGGTAGTTTGTCTCATTGTTCCGAGAACTTTTCTCGGGACGCACAAAATGTCCCGATTTTATGATAAAAACATCAAACTGTCATTTACATCGAATCACGAATGTAATAGGCCTTCTTGACTTGCTCATTGTTGTAATACATACTCTCCTGCCGCAAAACTCTCTCGAAAGTTCCGCCTGTGTATGATGAGAAACCAGGTCTGCGCAGATCTGAATGTAAAGACAGTTAAGGCAGTGCTCATGGTCAAAACCCACTTTACACAGTCATATACTGAATTTTATAATTATTAAAAAAAGAACCTCTATGTTCCATTCATAGATACAAATATATATGTCTAAAACCTAAAAGTAATATGTTTGAAAATATTATAAATTCAGATATGAAGGAGCCAGTCTTATGATGAATTGGATAAAGTGAATAAGTAAAGATTTCTTATAATCTGATAATTTGATTTGTATAATTTGATTATTTTTGCACGTTTGTTTTGTGTCTATCACCAAAAAAAAAGGAGTTTAAGTTATTTCAAAAACAATGCTAATGTTAATATATTTGGAAATGTTGTGGAAATGTTCAATAAATTTAAATCGAATTAAATAAAAGTTAAATTATTTCAAATTTATAATAACAATTTTGAAATCAGGAGCAAGGGCTGGGCTGTCCCGGTCTTATGCTTTGGAAATCTGATCACCTTAACGATATATGGATATATATATAAGCCATTTTTTCAAACACCAGTTCTTATGGTGTGAATGTGTAGCGGACATAGTGTGATTGAAATACTACTTTACTCTATTTTTCTCGGAAAAGCTTTAATCGACTGAATAAATAATGTAGTGTTTGAAATACGGTAAGCCTAATACTATTTTCTTATTATATTACAAATGAATGGCTTAGTTTAATAATGGTTCCGCAGTTGACATTTTCTAAAGAAAAATTACGTTACTCGTACAGCATAATTAGCACATTTCTTTGTAATACATTCTTTTCTCCCATGTTACACCCCGTGTCTAAAGCGTCACTTTTCTAATTCATAAAACACTATTTTTAATAAATATACTTGCTACATATATCAGGTTGTGCATCTCTTCGATAATCATAAAACACTGTTTTTAATAGTAACACTTGCTACATTTATCAGGTTGTGCATCTCTTCGATAATCATAAAACACTGTTTTTAATAGTAACACTTGCTACATTTATCAGGTTGTGCACCTCTTCGATAATTGTAAAACACTATTTTTAATAGTAACACTTGCTACATATATCAGGATGTACACATCTTCGATAATCGTAAAACACTGTTTTTAAAAGTAACACTTGCTACATTTATCAGGTTGTGCACCTCTTCGATAATCCGGCTACTGTGGGTTTTGCTGTGTTCATGTCTTTATGGGGTGAGTCCTTCTTTGCCTTTTATATTGAAAATACTATTTCCTTTTTCATCCTTGTAAGATAACGTTATTTTAATTGTGATATTTCAATACTAGAATTAAATGTAGCATCTAAGACTGATCTAGAAAGTGTTTATAAGCAGTATGTATTTGTATTACATCAATATCAGTTTGAATAATGTGCTTTAACATGGTCGAGAATGGCAAAAATGGCTCAAAACCCGAAACCCATCGTAGTGTCAAGTTCTCGATACTAGAACTTTGGATAAGGTTATGCTTCCTAAGTCATACGATTTTATAAAGTATGTTGAACCGAAACTTTTTAAAGTAACAAAGAAAATAGGAAATGCGATTGACCTTTTATTTTTGTCAATATTTTCTGATTCATACTCTGAGGGTCGCGGGTTCAAATCCAAATAAAATAATTTGGAGATATTTACGTTTAAAGAGTTTTTTTATACAGATATTTAAACACACCGATTGATTTTATAAGTTTTTCTATCAATTATACAGTCCTGTGAGTTCTTTTAAAGGAATCGTTGATCTTATAAATGTATTTAAAGAACACTGTGACAGAACTGCTGGAAGTCCGTCACGCTTTGTTGAACAGAATATATTTATGACGTGTTCTAACCACATCTGTATTTATATCACTATTGGTCAAAGTAGTAGTAGAACATGTAAAATTTCAAGATATGTTAATATGACTCCCATTATAAATAATTCAAACTCTCTAAAACATCCACTCGTGCATGTAAACCAGCTGAGATTTGAACAACGTGTCGTTTGGGTGTGTTTTCTCTTTGTGGGAAGTATTTTCAGCTGTGTTTTTGCTTTGTTCCATGCACCGTTCAATGCCTCGTATATTTAGTTTCCCTTTGATATCTCCACACTTTAATTTTAGCGTGAAAATCGAATTCATTATCAGTATCACATTCAAATGAAGATATTCAGCAGAAAAAGTTAAATGAAACAAAGCACAACTTAAAATGATTTTATAACCCCCTTTTTCTGCATTGATCTTTTGATTATTTATAATTTTGAAAATATTCAGCATTCTGAACTAACTGATACAAACTGATTTTGACAGGTTTTTGCTTTAAGGATATTTTATATATATGCTTATATATACTTATTCACTTGTTGTTGTTTTGTTTTTTTGTTTTGTTTTGCTCTGATTTTTCTTTTTCTAAACGCTTTAAGCCTTGGTATTTATTCGGTAACATGAATGAAATCAAGTTAAATTTGAATGTTAGTAGTGAAATCACTGCTGCAAACGCTACAGACTACTGTCTCCAATTCATACGACAAGTTTTCTCTAATCAAACATGTTCTCTGAAAGATCCACATGATTATCTACGAGACTGAGCTGACACTAACGGCATTTTCAAATTAACATTTGACAGAACTTAAAAGCTTATTTTGATATATTATTTTCCTATCCCTGTTTAGCTACAATCTTAAATTTTTTTTCTACAGATATTCAAAACGAAATTATGAGTGCAAGAAATTATATACTAAGTCATTTCAGACTTGAACTCTTAAGTCAGTATGCTTCTTAGCGAGGGAAGGGTGAAAAAATCAGCTTCCAAGCATTTCTTTTGAGTATATATTTTGAGTAAATCAGTATGCTGATACTTCCAAAAAAAATAGTTGTATTTGTTTGAAGTTTGTTTTGTTTCTAGCTCTGTAGTCAATTTTGTCACTAGTTCACGACGGTAAAACTGTCTAAATTTCTGGAATTCAACAAAAACAGTATACATCTAATAAAACACTTTTTTGATACACTGAAATTAAAAACGTATTTTGCTGAAAGACAATTTTGGCGTTTCAATAACTTTATAGATATTCGTGTTTTCTCAGCTACCATGTTTATGGAACTATGGAAAAGAAAACAAGCACGCACTGCTTGGGAATGGAATCTTTCTAGCGCAGAACACAGTCTAGTAAGTGGTTCTTATGATTATTATAAAATATAAAGGTTCCTTAACGATCACTCCTTTCGGCCGCTCAAAATTCCTACATAGAATGGAATAGTTGTTTTCAAATTAATTTTCAATAGGCAAATAATTATTTACTTTTCTATATATCAGTCTAGGTAATGGTTAAAGTAACTGGTAAAATAAGTTACTTAATTAAAATTAATTTAATAGGAAAATTATTCCCATTGTTTTTCTACAGAAAAGAACATTAACAGTGTGCTCTTGTAATTTATAATCTATCTAAGAGTTATAAATATCATTATGTTACTTTAGCGATGTTATTTTAAAATGTATAAATTACGGGATGGTTTTTCCTTTCTGTCTCTTCTTTATGCAAAAATATGACACAGTATTGCCTAAACAAACAAGATGAATGGCACAAATGCTTAGCCTGACAAATATGATTGGTCACGCTGTTGGGAACGTTATTAACGTGCAGCTACACTAATGCACGTTTTCACGCTCTTGCGAAATTTCAACTCTTGAATTAGAATTTTACACTCTGAAATTATTATGAGGGACAATTAATTGGTTAACTAAAAGGAATGCTAATCTATATATTAGCCTAAAAGTAACGATTATTACAGATCTTGTGTTTGTTTATCTCGTAATAAAGTACAGGGTTGAGTGCATTATATTAAAATAATTTTGAAAGAGACCTGCAAAAAAATCGTACCCCAATCGTGGTAAGCAAAGTAGCGCGTGTTGTGACATGTGAGATTCCACGAACACAAATGTCAGTGACGAAAGCAAGGTATGAATTCATCAAGATAAGGTTTCCGGACATACCTCCAGTTCAACTGTCGTATACCTCAAGCAGCTAGAAAATAAAACGGGAATTGATAGTATTTTATACGATGACATACCAGACAAATCTCTGGAAGCACCTGGAATCGGACTGTTGAAACTTGCATTAGGAAACAGTCACCCTCGTAAAATAGATGGAATATGAGAGCTAGCAGGGAAGAATAATATGTTTTGGACATTACAGCGTTACGAAGAATCCTTTGCAATAGAAACGACACTGCAGAATTATTGCTTACGATACACGGTCGTCAGTCAGAGTATGACTGGACTTGGCGACGTGAACTGTAACGACTTAGTGAGTCTCTAAAATTGTTTTAATATAACATATGCAACTTTTGTATTCGCATTCGCTGAAGGCAGGTCCAATAAAAAAATTATTTGCATTGTATATGATCCGATATAAAAGATAAACAATAACATTTATTATTACCCAGCCAATGTAATTTTCCTTTAGCTTTATATGCTTTTTAACTGCCTTTACCTCAGTCAATATTTTTCTTTGGGTTTCTGTGATATAGGAACAATTTGAGATTGTTTTAAAAATAAGATAGAGTTAATAGTTAGAAGAATGAGTCGCCTTACTGAATAATTCCTAGCATTTGCCAAATAAAAAGTTTTGTTTTCTTTCTGCATGACAGCGGTGATCTCTTGCTTAACAATATGATGTTCTCTAGCCGCACGAGAACTGAGTTCCTTAATGCATGACACTGGTGTCCTGTTGCTGTTGCTACACGACGATGTCAGTTTACAGTTTCTGAGGCTTCTTAATGTGAATGTAACTTTAGAAACTTCCACACATTTCAAATTTCACTGAATTGTCTTTTATTTAAATACAAATGTAACTGAACTGTTATGTTGAAACTATGGGTTAGAGCCTGCTAGAGATAATTCTGAAATGACGATTCCATTAAGAATTTCAGTGAAAAAAAAATATAACAGCTCCACTGAAAGATTCCTTCACGATGACATATATTAAGCAGAGCAATTAAACTCTCTTTCAATTCAGAATCCGTATTGGTCGTAAGCTCTCTCTTATCTAGGCGGTTCCTACAACTCATCAATAGATACTCTTATATAAAAAATATTCTATTTCTAGGTTTGTAAACTGCTATTAGATCAGTTTGTGAATAGTCTTTTCGAAAAAAACCTATACAACGGATTTCTCACAGTTTAGTATTTAATTTTTCGGATTATGTTTTAAATAAAATAAAATAAAAAGTATCGGCTCATGGTTTAAAATTTGCGACTCCTCTTCTAAAGCTCAAGTTTGAGAATTATCTGTTATCTTTTGAAGAATTACCACAACATATTTCAAAACAAAAAATATGGAATGAAAATAATAAATCATTTAATAGTATTATAATTCAAATAAGTGGAATAACTCAATCATTGTTAAACAACTGTAACTTTAAGTATACATCATATTAACATTATCTTTATAAAAAAGAATTGTTAGTAATAACGAAGACTTTTTAGCAATAAAGAAGAATTGTTAGCAATAACGAAGAACTGTTAACACTAACGAAGAATTGTTAGCAATAAAGAGGAATTATTAGCAATAACGAAGAACTGTTAGCAGTAAAGAAGCAGAGAAAAAAATAGAAAATAGTTCATAAAATAAAAAAATCCTACATAGATTAGAAATACAAAATTGCAGAATAATTTATTATAATTAGAAAAAGATAATCTAATTACACAAGTAGTGAGCTTTTAAAGATAAAGCCGTCAGGTAGTCATCCAGGTATATGGAATTCCTAAAACACATCAAGAAGATTTTCCTGTTAATATTGGTGAACTAGTAGAGTACCCCGCGTTGCTGATATGAAAATGACTTTAAATGATTTATTTCTTTAATTACATGCTAATTTATTGATCTATTGTAAAGCTTCTTTGTACACAATATTTTTGTCTTGCTCTCAGTAGCAAGGAAAAAGAGATTATGAGCAGAGAAGCAAATGAAGTTTTTAAATCGTTTTAACACATAATTAATCATGGATAGAATGATTAGGAGAAGTCCTCATACAGAGAAAAAACGTAAATAATAGTCCTCTTGATCATACATTGCCTGAAAAAATCCGGCCTTTTCATTTTAAGACCATTGGTCTTTGTGTTTGCCAAAAAATGTTATATTGGTCCCTTTGGCCTTGATTTGTTGCCTTACAACGGCCTCTGAGGGCACGGACACATAGCCCATGCTACTTCACGTACAAAGTTGTATCTGTACCCCGAGTTTGGAGATTCTAGTTTTAAAGTTGTGACCGGACGTAAGGAACAGACCCACAGAGAGAGAGAGATATTAAGAAGTTTCTGAATTAAACCATTTGCTTTTATATCACCAGTTGTTAAAACTAGAGAAAATAAAAATATACCACAGATTAACATATATATTATGCGTTCAACATAATCAGCATTGTTGGCCTAACAACAATATCATGATAGTTTTGTTGCTAAGCGACGATGTATAGTGTTGTATATTACCAAAATGAGCGTGACAGGACAGTAACCGAATTAAAAGCCAAAAATTAGTTTTTGTTAGAAACCTGGTGGAAATTTTACTCCCTCGTGTTACTTCTGTTGACCGTAGGAGTCACCATGTCAAGTTTGGTGGTGATTGGTCAAATAGTGTGCAAGGAGTAGGCGGACAGACAAACATACAATTTCGCTTTTATATATATATATATACTGGCGAAAGCACCCGGCTTCACTCGAGTTATTGGGTTGATATATTCAAGATGACTATATCAGTGTGTGTATTATGAACCAGAAAAACAGTCAAAAATGTTTTAAACATTTAAATTTGAGAAACATAAAAAAGTCGCAAAGGTACAATGATAATAGAATTATTATGGATAATTAT